ATAGAATGATTGTACCTATAGGCTACATTTGAAAATTACGGGAAAAATAATAATGATAAAAAAATATAGTGATTAAATATAAATAGCTGTGGGGAAAAATAGGCATAGCAAAAAATAAATGGTTTAAAGAAAAATACTGGTGAATAAATCAAAATAAAACCTTAACTGTCACTTGAAGTAGTGTTTTGGGCCACAGCTGGTAGATCGGCCAGACGTGTCGCCACCTTCTTCTCCCCGCTCTTGTCGACCCAGAGCATTCTGCCATCCTGGGTCCAGACATTCCCCACGCCAAACCGTACCACCGCCTGCTTGTTCACCTGCTGACGAAGGTGCGTCAGGTCTTCCTTGATTGTGACGCCGGTCCCCTTTAGCCGCTTCTTTACATCAAAGACAGTCTGTCGGGCCCGGTAGGTGCTGAACAGGACGATGATGGCCCGGTGCCGCTCCCTGCCTTCAGTTCCCGGCTCCTGTAGCTTGCCGACTCTGTGGGAACGGGAGATGGCGTCCTTCGATAGCTCCACTCCAAGCTTTTCAAGGCAAATCTTAACCACTAGCAGGCCGATAAGTATTTTGCCTGCTCTATCTAAAGGCCTAGAAAGGATCGTTCACTGTCAAATCACTGAATTCATCACTGAAAATAACATTCTATCTGACTACCAATCTGGTTTCAGATCAGCGCACAGTACAGAAACAGCACTCCTTCGAGTGACTGAAGACATTAGACTTGCTATGGAGCGTCGACAAGGAACGATTCTAACTCTGTTTGATTTTTCCAAAGCATTTGACTGTGTTAATCATGACTTGCTGGTGCAGAAATTAAGGGCAATAGGGTTTTCCCAGAATTCTCTTAAATGGCTGAGATCTTATCTGTCAGATAGGCAGCAATGTGTGGAGGTTGGTGACACAAGATCAGACTGGATGACTGTTACATGCGGTGTTCCCTAATGATCAATCCTTGGACCACTGCTCTTTGTACTGTACGTCAACGACATAAACTCGACCTTGACCAACTGTAAACACCACATGTACGCTGACGACTTACAAATCTATGACTATTTTACTGCAAACAACGAAAATGACTGTGTCAGAAGGATCAATGAAGATGTCAACCAAATAGTTACTTGGACTGAGAATCACGGACTGAGACTAAATCACGAAAAGACAAAACCGATTGTAATCTGCCACCTTCGACTTCGCCCTTCAATTGACTTAGACTCAATAAACCCAATCACAGTCAGTGGCAAAGCACTTCCCTACTACGACAAAGTAAAGAATCTTGGCATATCTTTAAACTCTTCACTTACTTGGGACACAGCAGTTACGGACACACGAAAAAAGGTTTTTGCCTCCATACATTCACTTAAAAGATTGCAGAACTTTTTGCCACAACACACAAAACTTCATTTGATCAAATCACTTGTACTGCCCCACTTCAGTTACTGCAACTCATTGATCAATGACATGACTGTGATTCAGGCGGATATGCTCCAGCGGTCTCAGAATTACGCTTTGAGATTTGTCTATGGTCTGCGGCGTGAGGAGCATATCACGCCATACTACCTTGAGGCAAACATCTTGAGACTAAATTATCAAAGATCCGTCAAAATTTTGTCATTAGTCTTTTTAATTTTGAAATCAGGCTCCCCGAAATATTTTACATCAGATTTTAAATTTGTGTCTCAGGGTAGTTCACGAATTTCTCGTTCTTCTTCGATCACATTGCGTATACCTCATCATGTGACCACCGCTTATGACAGGGCTTTTGTTGTTACCGCTTGCCGTCTTTGGAACAGCCTGCCCCTACACATTAAATCCCTTGATAAACGTTCCCAGTTTGTGGCGGCACTAAAAAATCTCTACTTTGAGCAAATGGTCTCGGCTGGTGTGTCCTAGGGCTTCTGCGTCTTTGCGCGATTGCTGGTGCGTATGCGCGTGTGTGTGTGTGTTTTCTTTTGTATATTCTATTTATAATAATTACTATTTTTTTTAAATTAGTAAATTAGTTAAATAAATTGAATTTTTGCTTGATGTGTTAAATATGTATATTTATATTAGATTAAGAAATTTCATTGTATATTTATTTATTTATATTTAAGTTTGTCAGGTTAAGTGTAAGATAGGGCCATGTGGCCCTAACTTTGCCTAGTAAAATAAAGAATTTTTCATTTAATTTTTTTTTTCATTTCATCTTAACCACTAGGTTGTCAGTGCTCTCTTCCTTCGTCTCATTGAAGCCAAATAGACAGTACTTTTATTCTCTTTGGTTTAATTTAAGGAATCTATTTAGAAAAACAATACTACTTCATTATTCGACTTTTTAAAAGGTTTTAAGTCAAGTGCAAATTAGTTGAAATATGAGTAAACTTATTACCAACATCAGGGAACTCAAGCTGAACCACTTATCAAATAAAATCAAAACTACATACAATTTTACAATAAGTCTACTTGTATTATAACACTATAAGTAACCTCTATGTACAACCCTCAGTTAATGTTTTTTTTAATTTAAATTCAAAAATTAGAAATTTATTAACAAAGTACCTAACTGGTTTGTTAACATTATTTCAAAATTGTAAAAATGCACATAAATTATATCTACTTGTAAATAAACATCATCTAAGTTATATCTTTTGACTAAACAAATTTGTAAACAAAAAGTTATTTTAATTATTCAAATTAGGCTAGTTAAACATGGAAACATTGTTATTATAAATCAGTTTCCATTAACACGTTTACTGCGGCTCATAAATGGCGCGCATATCCCCGGTAAGGTGCAGTGTCATACAAACCCAATTGCCGGACAATTGGCTTAAAAATTTTGGTCTGACAAATAGCAAATAACGTGTGGTGATGTACTGCGTTACAACGAGAGCCAACATAGTTCACTAAAACACCCACAGATAGCACTGTCTGGAACCAGCCGGCCCCATTATATTGCCAACTGAAGGGAGAAAGACGGAACAACAAGTTGATTTCCAAGCTCGTCAGACGGGGTTTTTAAGGGGAAATTTACTACCAACCTACACCACAACAAAAAGCATGTCACACACTACATGCTATATAGTTATTTTTTCAACTAACTGAAAATTAAATTTCAAGCCCAGCATCAGTTATTGTTTCTGCGAGCTAGCTCAAGCTCATCATGTTTCATGTTTCTATTAATAACACATCTCTTAGTTCAAGGTCACTGTCATTATCCTGTCCTCTTTACCTAGAAGACCTGACTAACACACTTTAGGATACATTTTAATGTTTTGTCAAGAGACAAAATCGGACAGTAATGATAAACTATTATGTAAATAAATATAAGTGTACTATTGACATACAATATCTGTTGTCAATTGGAACAAACTTTCATAATTGCTATTCTTTAATTTTATTCAAACAAACCTCAAAATGAACATCCAAATTTTAATCTGTTAATTTTAGCCTAACAACGCTGTGCCTCTTGTAACTTTCTGCATAAGCATGATACCTATATCTGTTGTTGTGTAAATAGGCCTGAAGTAGGAGGCCCTATCAAATAGTTAAAACTTTCAATACTCCTTACTTTAATTAAAATATGATAAGAACAAACTTACTTTAGTTTTCATGGAAAAAACCAGTCCAATCCTATTTGCCTCTTCGTTGTGTTGTCTTTATTGTGTACTCATTGTGTTTCTAATAGTTTACAAGCAGAAGTAACCTCCCCGCTCGCATCAATACGCCTAAACAGATATGGAGTGCGGAGTCCCAGACACACGAGATGATGATATAGCTGCACTACTTACACACTGCCGGTCCGCTGCACCGTGCAATTCAGTAATTTATGATTCTGACAACCTTAATAGGTTGTTCTCAAAAAGATGTTTTTGAGTATCTGTTGTATAATAATTTAAAAATCTATTTTGAGTACGGTACTTTGTATTTTTGTTGCATAAGATTTTACAAAGTTAATTAAATAGGATCAATGCATCCAATAATTATTGTGTAGTCATAATTAATTACCATATTGTATGGGTTCTGGGGGGGGGGGTACATATCTCCCCATTCTTCCTCTCTGGATCCGCCCCTGCTACACAGCCATTTTAACCTTAAGGCCCTTAGAGCCCCCTTAGAGCGACAGGACCAACAAGAGCGACTGATACATTCACATGGTAAAAATCGGAGTGCCCTAGCTGAGCAGAAAGTGCGACGTCGCTTCAAGATACAAACATGTTTATATTTGGTAGCGCTACACCGGCGACACTACGGAGCAGCATCCATAGCGGCCCTGTTGTGCCGCTCAGTGTGACACACATTTTTCCGCAGACAGAACAGCGACAATCGGTCTGGTTGGTTGCATTGCTCTTGCCTCCCAGCTAGGACGTAACATGTCTACCTCACAAATGATGCAAATCCATGTCTTGTTTGTTGCTTGTAGTGCGTTCTTCAGTTTAGGCTCAATTCTATCTTTTTTGCTGCATCATAATTATCTAAATATGTACATTTAGCAACTCCTCTAGAAGCACTTGAGACTTTTAATGTAACAGTAAAGTGTCCTTGAATGATAACATTGGCATCTTAGCCATTTAAACTCAATCTGCTGAGTGTTGTTCCTAGATTGTACTAGAACCTGCTGCAGACTCCTGTATTCACATCCAAGTACCACTGGAATCTTGACAGCCTTTTGGATACATTTACAGTAGAACCTTGATAACAAGACTCTCATGGGGATTATAAAATAAGTCTGGTTATCAAGGTTGACTTCTTATTGAGGTGTGCAGTAACATGTGTTTAGAGGTAAAATAAATTCAAGGGGATTTGAAAATTACAATTGTTATCAAGAGTGACTTGTTATCGAGGGTCTTCTTATCAAGGTTCCACTGTATATTATATTAAGTTCTGTTCTATCTTGTCAGGCTCTACTCTATTTAGTTTTTCTCAAATGTTATCAATAATTGCTGGTTTTACACATCTTCATTAGGCTTTGTTACCGTACGCTGGTGAGTTGCTCAATCTTGTTCCTTCTTTGTTCACAGGGCAAGCTCATCAAGCTGTTCTCAAGACAGTTGATTCTCAAAGCCAAGTTGAAGGATGATGGAACCCCAGCAGAGATCAAGCACGTGCCATCTCTACGACAGTGGCTGCAGGTCGTGGGCCTCTCACCCGACTCTGTGCAGGTAATACATAACAGCTGTGTAAGTAATTGCCAACTGGTAGATTTAGGGGTTGTAACAGAAGAGGCTACTATTATCACAGTCATTGTTAACTCAGGTTTTATTAGGCCTACAGTTGGTACAATTCACACAAAAGTTGTCTACTCTAAGTTTCCTATTGTTTAGAAGCTGTTCTTGTATTATTGGATGATTTAGTTAGGCACGGACATGTTCCATATTTTCTGATTTTCTTGATGTGTCTTAAGACTTGCTCTTCAAGAATCAAGTAATCTGATAAATTATGGGTATATTACATGTATTATAGTGTATTTTCCTATAGAGAAGTAGCTATTGCCTTTGGTGGCATGTTAGATCTATTTACTTTTTCATTTTGATGTCCCCAAAGGGAAAAAATATTTGTATTCCGGGTTTGCTGGGTTGTATGTTAACAACAAAGACCTTTAATTTGATGTGCATAAGCCTATGTTTACATTTAAGATTTTCTTCTGACCCCTAGCGGGCCATCCCCCTGAGGACATAGCGTATCACTGAATAATGTTTTTAAATCGAGTTAATGCCCAGTAACCATGTACCAAGTTTTGGTGTTCTATCTCTATCATTGATTGAAGTATTTAACTATCCTCGGACTTTTTCCACCCTGTATAGCTATGTGACATTACCTACATAATTTATTTATTTATGCAAATTAGGTCTACCTATACCTGTTACCCTTGCTTGATACAGGTATAGATTTTTAATTTTGAAAAGAGGGTGTTTTTGAGCTCTAGGGACCTCAAAACAAAAAATTAAATCGGTTGGGTCCAGGTCTTACCCTGCCACCTACAGTAATATAGCTTGTTCCCCATTTGGTAAATTCGCTAAAACTAAACTTTTAAAATTATCATGCTATTCTTATAGAGAAAAATAAGAAGGTTGTAATTTACTTATTTATGGATATATTTTGATGAAATTTGACAAATTTATTTAATTGTTTAGTTTATTTAGTCTATGCAAAAAGTCTTCGTCGTCTTCCACGATCGCAGCAAAACCATGAACATCTCTTGTGGCCATGTAGACGTCATCGTCGTCTCCTGGGATCGCGGTAACATCATTGTTGACATCTGCGATCGCGGCAAAATAATGTTCCGCGGCCGTGTAAACATCATCATTGACTTCCGCAGTCATGGAAACGTCATTGTGTGGACGCCATCATCGTCTCCTGCGATCGCGACAAAATCTTGAACATCTCCCGCGGTAAGGGAAACGTCTTCGGCGTCGTAAATGATTGCGGCAAAACCATGATCATCTCTTGCGGCCATGTAGACGTCATCGTCGTCTCCCGGGATCACGGTACTGTATCGTCATCCGCGATCGCGGCAAAATTATCTCCTGTGGCCACGGAAACTCATCGTTGTCTTGCACCATTGAGGCAATATAGTAATTTTTCAGCATTATCGGTACAGACATTTCACCATCGGTAGTCAGTTCCGGTTCTTTTGCCAAGGACTGGCGGAACACTAGATTTGACGTGAAGTACCAACCCATCACTACTAAAAAGGAAACTGAGTTATCATCACTCTGCTGCATTTTTTGAGTAATCATTGTGAGAACCGATTTGCAAACTATCTTCTTATCTTTATCTTATCTAACAGGGGCAGGTCGAGACCTTTAAGCACTTCATCCGAAATCGAATTATTGCGCACCCCAGACAATTGCTTTCTTGTTGACCTACAAGTTAAGGCGCCCAATGAATGCCTGTAGGTTCCCAATTAGTTCATCCTCAGGAAGGTATCTACCTCTAGCCATATTTCCAAGATTTATCAATCTAGCATCAGAGAGCTTGTTACAATCAAAGAGTAGGTGATCAGCTGTCTCTTCTGACCTATTACAGTACCTACAGATCGGTTCACCATCATATAAGCCCATCCGTTGTAAATGTTTCCTGAATCTTCCATGACCAGTTATCAGTTCAACAATTAATTTAATTCTTCGTCTGTCTAGTCTCAAGAGGTCACAGGCGACCTTTTTAGAAGGCCTAAACAGAGTAAGCTTGCTGACCCTAAGAAGGGGAACATCGACCCAGCGTTTGCGATGCTTTTCCTTGGCCCATGACGCAATCGCAGAACATGCACTGTTTTGTGAGATGCCATAGAAGGGTTGTGGGCCTATTCATTGATGTCGCAGAGGCAGTATTTGCCAATCTATCTGCAGCTTCATTACCTTTAATGCCTGAGTGTCCTGGCACCCAGCAAAGCGTAAGGTCATTTCTCCTACCCAATTCAGACACAGAAGCAAGACAGTCCCACACGAGCCTGGAACTTTCCAACCACAAGGATTGCAACATCATTAGCGTAACCTAAGGCGAAAATCCCACTTTCGTTGAGGGTCCTTATAAGGTCGTCTGCTACCAAATTCCAAAGGAGGGGAGAGAGAACCCCCCCCCCGAGGGCATCCTCAAGAAGTTCGATCGTGTCATTATGGAGTGAGAGCCTAACTTTCCTACTGTGAAGCAAGGTTTTAATCCATCTACATATTATACCGTGAAAACCTCTTGCTCTCACCGCATTAAGAATCGCTGGAGTACCAGTATTATCAAAAGCACCTTGAATATCGAGAAAGGCACCCAGGGCCACTTCACTGCTCTCTAGAGCTTTCTCAATTTTGCTTACAAGTTGGTGCAACACAGTCTCGCATGATCTTCCTGAGACATACGCATGCTGATTATTATGAATAGGATGTGTCCTGAGAGCTGTATCCATATCTTGAGACCAACTTTTCTAGGATCTTAAGGAAGAAAGAAGATAGAGAAATGGGTCTAAATGACTTAGGATCAGTGTAACTATCCCTCCCTGGTTTAGGAATAAATGCAATACGCGAATTACACCACCCTAAGGGAATGTGTCCTAAGGCTAAGCTGGCTCTGAAAAGTTTACAGAGTGGGTGTATAATTGTCAAGACCCTCCTGCAAACAAACAGGTCTTACCTCATCAGGACCCGGCGATTTGAAGGGTCGTAATAAGCCAACAGCCCATCTTACCTTGCTGAGGGTGACTATGCGGCAAGCGGTGCTCCACATAGAATGAATGGCACGACGGCCCAGATTAGGCCGCTCTGGACTCACCTCCTCCTGCTGCACTTCAGAAACAATACAACCAGGGAAATGAGTTTTTACCATCACCTTTAGTTTTTCGGTAGGTTCAAAAGCCATTACACCATCCGGTCCCTCAACGGCACCAAGAGTAACATGCCTGTCTCTAACAAGTACCTTATGTATTCTAGAAGTATCCTTGATACTTTATAAATTTCCACAAAAATTTTTCCATGAAAGCCTTTTGGCCTTTCGTACTGCATGGTTATATTCTGTGAGAACAGTATGGTATGTATCCCAATTATTGGTTTTCTTAGCTCGCCTAAAGTGGGCCCTTACTCTCTTCCTAAGAGAGGCAAGTTCGGGACCCCACCAACTAGCCCTATTGCTCTTGCCCTTGCGCAAAGGACAATTATCGTCAAAGGATGTAACTAAGCACCTAGTTAGATGATCTGCCGCCTCGTCAAGCGCATCAACTGTGTTTAAAGGAGATGTGTTCAGATTTGAGGCAATCCTGCCCCGAAGATCAGCTCTGAAGGATGCCCAGTCGGTTTTAACTGGGCTCCTGAATAAGCGAACCTCGCCGCAGAAATTCCCCAACCTGAAGACAATGTGCCTATGATCAGACAGGGATGGCTCAAGGGACACTGACCAGTCAATAATCCTGTCAGCCATACCCGCTGAACACAGGGTAAGATCAATTACTGATTGGCCTATCCTGCTTAAAAAAGTTGGTTCTGAGCCTACGTTTGCAACAAGTAGGCCGCAAGAATCTAGGTACTCTAGAAGTGACCTACCTCGGTTGTTTGTGTCCCTGCATCCCCAGGTCGTATTATGGGCGTTGGAGTCGCAGCCTATCACGAGTTCGGATCCAGACTCATGTGCGAGGTCGACCAATCTTCTGACCTCGGCCGATGGGAACAGTCCATCGTCGTCCTGTGGCATGTAAACAGAGGCCAGCAGCAGTTTTATGCTAGATTTAGTACGTACAGTCTTAATTACTGTTATGTCCCTCGAACAAAGCTCTAGAACTGGATTACATTTTAGCCCCTCTTTAACCCAAATGCAAGTTCTAGGGTGTGGTACAGATGCAGAGATGATGCTACCCTTAATGGTTCCCATCCCCGCAATTCTAAAACTATTGACCCAGGGTTCCTGAATCAAGGCAAAATCTAAGGACTGCTTAACCGTGCTCAGACAGAACACAGCCGTGGCAGCCTTACTGTGTTGTAGGTTCACTTGAAGGACCTGAGTCATCAGAGGGAGCACCAGAGATAACTCTGAGCTGTAGTTTCCCCAGACCCAGATAGATGATCCAGCCACGGTCTTTCAGAACCTGCGCATTCATTTCATCAATGGCAAGAACAAGAATCTGATGATCATCCTTCCTCTTCCCACCAATGACGCGCCAGTCCTTTGTCGTGACACCAGGATTTTGCCGCTCAATCTGAACAAACACTTTAGAGGCTTCGACCTTGGCCAAGCGCCTGTCAGTGCGAAGGAGCACTTTAGTCGTGCGCAACAGATCCTTGTAGTCTGCTACACAATGACCTCCATACTCCCCTCACTTCCCAGCGCTAGCTTCGGTGGCACCCTCTTTAGCCAGTCAGTTGTTTCAGAATTACCACAAGTTACGACAAGAGCACCCTTCTCATGGTAAATTCTTTCAAACTGAGGGGGAATATTGGCGCCATCATCACCAAACACCAACTCCATCAGTTTGTCCTGCAACAAGTCACATTCCTCAACAGAGAATCTCGCATCGGGATAGGCCGCTGGAGCTACTGCCAACTTGTGACCCACAAGCTGGTCTCTGTAGCTGACCTTTCCTGCAACGAATCCATCTGCTGATTGATTAGAGTTTTTATTTCTCTAAGGAGGAGGATTTTGAGACGACCCAGGGTTACTATCGGATCCGGTTCTACGCATCGGTGATACGCCTGAACCTTCTCCAGGAGAACTCAAGGACTCTCGCTTCCTTTTTCTCCACTGTCTGTTAGGGATCCACGTGCCCTCAGCCTTTTTCCTTTCTCTAACAGACATATTATACTCAGTTTTGGTCTTAACTGTAAAAACGATCTCAGAGTTGGACGATACATCCGCCAGAGACGGAGAGTCGCCAGCGTTGCTGGTGTTTAGTGGCTTGTTCAGGTCCGCACCTAACCTGTGACAAAGCTCAAGAACATCAGTTGATGAATTGGGTGGAGCAAGTGGGGAACTTCTCGAGAAGATCTCTGGCGTGTCAAAGATCTCCCCAGGTTCCGTCTCCATTGCGGTGTTCTGCACAGTAACAACATTGTTAAAGGAAAGCTGATTGTTGCCCTCCCCATAATCCATGGGCTTGCCCTCCAAAAAGGAGGAGTGGGATTCCCCGCTTGAGCAGGTCCACCTGGGGTAATGATTCCGTTTGTTTACTTTCAGCCATTACTAAAACAAGAAAAGCAAAAAGTTAGCAGTTTAGCAGCCGAACCGTGACCCACTCACTACGCCTGCTAATGTCCAAGACTGGACCCTTTCGGGGTTGGACCCCTCATCGGCTCCAGCTTAGTCCTGTCACAGCTGCACACATACCTGTAACAGTTGGCGGTAACATTAGCTATCTGGGCCTTGGCCGGATTGGTGACTGTCACCTCCGCCCAAGGCCAGTACTAGAGCAGCCGCTCCCTACCCTAGGGCTGTCTGCAAACTATGGAAACATAAGAAATTTATCTAAAACCACCAATTATAAGACATAGAAATAATGTTATTTTTTTAAATTTATAATCGTTATTATGGACGTGGACAACCTAATGCGGCTATGAGTGGGAAACATTTGTAGATAACACAAAAAACAAGCTATTGAAAAATTATATTTATATTTACAAGAAGTGTTGATTATATCGACCTGTTATGTACATCATGAGTATTTCCATAATCTTTGAGTCGACTCTTTTAAAGTCATCGGAAATTATGACTGTTACTCGTTTTAAAGTAACGCCTGTAATACTTCACAATTGCTCGAATTCGAGCAACAGGTACACTAGTGTTACATATATGAATAGGGAATAAGTATGACTTTTGAAGGAAATATTTGAGTAAAAATCAGGAGTGAGAGACTAGTCATAGATGTGTGGATAGTGGTTGTGGATGAATGTGTTGCAGATAGTGACATACAAGGTGAGGTCGCTGGAGGCACTACAGTCTGTGACAGAGAGAGAGCTGAGGACATTGTTATCTGAACAACCACAGCGGGATGAGGAGCTAAGACGACTCAGCCATGCTCTTCACAACCTCAAGCGTTATACTGGTCAGTTTGTATACTATATTATTTTATTGAGTTTAGTTTATATACTTAATTGATTTGCTATGAATTTGGTCGAATGGAAATTGTTTGGTACATACTTAAGCTTCTGTGAATTGCTCTGCTGTTTACTTTATGTATTTTACAGAATTTCATTGTATGCTTCTTATTCAAACATACAAAGCACCTGTCTTAAATAGCGTTCTTGCGATTCTCAGATTTATATTTTGTGCACTAGTCATTCCAATGTTTTCCTTCACATAATACACAATTAAAATAAAAGTAGCTATCGTTTTCCACAAGAATGTGTTCAGTCTCTCTGTAAAAAAGCATCAGGAACAGTAGACAAAGTATTAGAGTAGGATACTAGTACTAGGTATTAAACCTGTCAATAACTGTGATTTCTCTTGAATTTTAAATTAGGCTATCACACAATTATACAACATTTTAACATCCATTTCCCAAGAAATCTTAATTTATTTTACTTTCATAACAATGAAATGAAATGAAATGAAATGCAATTAAAAATCCTTTATTTTTTCAGGCAAAGTTAGGGCCACATAGCCCTTTCTTACACTTAACCTGACATTAAAAATATAACAAAAATAATGTGACATAGGGATAACTTAATCTAATTAAACATAAAATATTTAACAATTCAAGTACCTACATATCTAAAAAAAAACATAAAAATTTAACAAATAGAAAAACACATTCACACACTCTCGCATACACGCATCAGCAAACGCGCAAGGTAACAGTAGCCCTAGGACACGCCAGCCGAGACCATCTTCTCAAAATAGAGCTTTTTCAGTGCCGCCACAAACTGGGAACGTTTTTCAAGGGTCTTAATGTGTAGGGGTAGACACAGACGACAAGCGGTAACAACAAAAGCCCTGCCATAAGCTGTGGTCACATGATGAGGTATACGCAATGTGATCGAAGAATAACGAGACATTCGTGAACTACCCTGAGACACAAATTTAAAATCGGATTTGAAATATTTTGGGGAGCCTGTTTTCAAAATTGAAAAAACCAATGACAAAATTTTAATGAATCTTTGATCATTTAATTTCAGGATGTGTGCCTCGAGGTAGTATGGCGTAATATGCTCCATACGTCACAGACCATAGACAAATCTCAAACAATAGTTCTGTGACCGCTGGAGCATACCCGCCTGAGTCGCAGTCAAGTCATTGATCAATGAGTTGCAGTAACTGAAGTGGGGTAGTTCAAGTGATTTGATCAAATGTAGTTTAGTGTGTTGTGGTAAAAAATTCTGTAATTTTTTTTTACAATGTACAAATTCTGTAACAATGTTTTAGGGGAAAAAAATAGATGAAATGTCTTCACCTAAAGTTTGAAGACAACATGTTTCTCAATGTTGTCGAAGCCTTACCTAAGTGTAACTGTATCCCTGCACGTGATGGGTGACATATCCCTCAAGGCACAGTAATGGGAATTTACCATAACCTGTTTTTCCGCAAATCTGCCCTTCAATAAGGTTATGGTGATATAATAATTCAGGTCGGTAATAGGAAGTCCAGCGATGCAGCATTAAGGCCACCTTCTAACTAAGGTCACAGCCACTGGGTGGCAGCCACCGTCTTAGTTTCAGTGATCATAAATTTGTTGTTGTGTGCATTCATCATTAAAATGCCATCAGGAACCTGTGATCATCTCCCCCTATCGTGGCAAAATGTTGAATATCTCCCGCAATCGCATACACATCATCATCTTCTCCTGTGAGCACTTCAAACCGCACTTCAAAAGGACCATCCGTTAAAAAATAACAGTTGCTTAAAGATTTAAAATAGTGTTTGAATTTAAAGAAATAGGCTAATTTTGAAAATCTTTGAACATCTGCCATTTTGCGCAGGATCAACCTTTTGAAGTGCGGTTTGCGGCTACTAAAAAAGACCTTTCATTTGATGTGCTTATTGACCTATGCTTCCGTTTAATATTTTCTTCCGGCTCCTTGTGAGCCGTCCCCCTGAAGAGTTATTGGATCACTGAATATGTGTTAAAATAGAGTTTTATGCCTTGTAACTTTGTACCAAGTATTGTAGCTCTACCTACATTATTTTTTAAAATATTTAACTGTCTTTGGACTTTATTACCACCCTGTATAATAAATAAATCCCTACAGCAAGGAATTTTTCCAACCGCTCTAAGGACCGCCAAAATATACCAAAAATATAAAAAAGGACCACGAAATGAACCTAGCAGCTATAGGCCAATATCCCTGATTCCAACATTCTCAAAATTAAACTAAAAAATTGTACTTGCTAGACTCCTAAACCATCTCGAACGGCATAGCCTACTCACAAATAAACAGCACGGATTCCTCAGGGGTAGATCAACAACAACAGCCCTGATACAGCTGACAGAACACGTCATAGACCAATTGGAGGAAGGATGTTGAGTGACCAGCCTGTTTCTTGACTTAAGCAAAGCCTTTGATTGCCTCAATCACAACCAGCTACTACAAAAACTAAAAGCCCTAGGAGTAGGAGATAAAGAAGCAGAATGGTTTAAATGCTAACGCTTTTTGAGAAGAAACCTTCATACAAAGGAGAGCCAGCCACCCCAACGTTTCAAGAACCAGCTGACGGAAAGGCTTCAAGAAAGACCCTACTATCTAGAATCAGAATTCTTGAACACCTGACACAGCGCCGCTGCCGACGAGAGCTCTCTCTGGACATCAAATGTTAACATTGTATTATCACATTACATTACTATAAAAATAAAAAAAATCTTTTGCACAATCTAAAATCTTTTGTTTTGACGCATGTACTATTCTCCCACGAATATGTAAATAAAGAGCATTGTCTATTGTCTATTGTCTCTCTGTTGCAATCAGGAGGAGATATCTTCATCCCCGCGATTGCAAAAACACCCTTATTGTTTCATGCATGGCATAGGACTACTCATTGTCTTCCGAGATCATGGAAGATGTCTAATACTCCCTGCAATGGTGAAGACATTATCACCAAATCTGGTAGCGGCAAAATCAAGAGAATCCTCTGTGATTGTGAAATCATCATTATAATTTTTCACAAACACAACATAATTTTTCCACAATTGCAAAGACATAATCTTTTTCTCCTGCTAGTGTGGTGGAATTTTTCTGTTTTGGTTTTTTTTCTAAAAACTGGTTAACGAGTGACTTTAAAAACAGACCCATCGCTAATTTTATTTACTCTTCACTGCATCAATGATAGGTGGATGTAGGTAATTATTGGTGTTTCAGACATTCTTCATAGAGGTGACAGTGAGAACGTAGAAGCTTTGTACTGGGACTCGTGGGACCGTCGTGTAGTGGTGGGAGGAGGCAGCTCTCCTCGGCCCCCCCGCTCCAGAGCAGGACGCTGTTCTGTACCATCTGAGGAGAGCTTACATCCGTCAGAGAGAGCCCCACTGTCTCCACCTCTGCCACCTTACCCGTACACAACACCCCCGTCCACACCCCCTGTGGGGAAAGGCAAATGTAAGTCTTTAGCACAGTACAGGTTATTGTTTACTTACAAAGGGTTTTGCAAGTAAACAGTATAAATGTAAATATATCATTTAAGTGTATTAGATGCATTTTTTATTTACTTTCCATTTGTTAATGATAGATAGTAAAACTGATACAATAAAAAAAGATAAAATTCAAGAGATGGTTTAATGAACATGATTTTCAAAGAACTGACAAAATGTGAACAAAAATGTAAATAGAGTATGACCAATATAATAAAACATATGGTTTGTGCACAAAAGGCAGGCAGAACATAGTATTCAGAGAGAACTTCTAACATACCCCCAAATTGCAACAAGGAACTGGGCAATTTTATTCTGTGACAGGAAGAGGGCACAATTTTGCTATTGGTCTTTTGAGTATTCCACTGGCTGTCTTCAGTGTTACAACGCAAATGAGATGTCAAGCCCAGGATGAACTGCTATGACTTTTGCTAAAGGCCATTTTGACGGAGGATATTGTTCGTCAGTAATAAGGACTAACTTTAAGTTCTGTGTTTGAAAATCTCCATTTATAAATTGTCTGCAGTTGCTGAAGATATTCCCTTGACCATCTTTTCCAGAAACTTTGTAACATTTGCTGCAACAACTGCCATCTTGAAAGTCTATTTGTTGGTACTTCCTTGAGGTCTGGTTCTGGTATTGTAGATAGTAATGCACCAACAAGAAAATGTGCAGGAGTCAATGTAGATAGGTCCTCAGGATCATCAGTCAATTTGCAGAGAGGTCTCGAATTCAAAACCGCTTCGATTTGTGTGAGAATGGTAGTTGTTGAAAATGACTGTCTCTAGATGATTATTTATGTATTAATTTAATTCATCAGATGTTTTATTTGTTTACATTTTGCAGTTAGTGTTTTCCTTTTGATTTGATTGTTAGAGTTGGTCTTGAATAGTTATGTCTGAATAAAACATGAAGTTTTTTTTTTGTACTATGTTTTCTTGAGATCATTTAAAAAGTATACCCCTTTTAGAAGAATCAGTATCGCGTTTTAACATTTGGCGACCGTGACAGGACAGTATGATGAGTGAAACTGATGTTAGGGAATTAATTAAGAACAAGAAACATAGAATTGTTGTCAGGGCAAACTTTTCAAGACTAGTGAACCATTTAAAGGATGAACTCACACAGGAAACGGTTCACTTAGATGAATTGAAAGGTATAGTGGGGTGGGTTAGCAACAAATTACACCATAATATTTCACATCTGGCAACCAACGCACCCCTTTGGATTCAGATAGTACATGCGTAGACGAGTCCAAAAAGTCCGAGACACAAATTTTTCGGGCACTCTATGGGTGTTGATGACGTAATCAAAATGGCCGCCAAAGTTGTGTGACATGATTCTACATTTCCCTATATAACTCGGGTTCATATTCTAATAATGCCCTACGTTTTTAGTGATTATTAATCACGAAAAAATTACCTTTCCGATGGTGTACTTTACTTCATTATTTACATTCATAATACTACGAATATTTATATTTGTATTAAATATTTTGTTTCTGATTTAGATTTTTTTAAATCATTTTGCTAAGTGTCGTGGATCGTGTTACACGTAGCTGAAAACGTCTTACATACACTTTTTTGTCAGAATATTACCTTTCTAACGGTATATATTACTTATATTTTAATACAAAAACACTGCTCAAAATTTGCCATAACAATGTAGTGGTACACAGTGAGTCGTTATCACCCCGATGGAATTTATAAGAGGACCGAAAGGTAATAGCGCTATTGAGTGCTATTAAACTTTTACTTTCGTTTTAAAGTTAGAGACAATAAAATTAAGTACAAGATTTAAATACCCCCGCCGCAGCAAACCTACCAACTAAGCGAATTTCCATTTGTCTGAATTTATTTTCAATTAAATATATTTTAATAACATTAGCTTTAACGAGTACCTAGGTTTGCTGCTACAAGGAAACTAATTAAGTGTGTTTTTTTTAGTAAAATATTGATAGCTTAGTATAAAATAAATAAACTTGCCAAGTTTGATCAAAATATATCGATAAACAAGCAAACTACAACATTTTATAATATTCTCCATAATAATAACATAGGAATTTTAAATTTACAATTTTTTTAAATTTTCTCCATCACCAATAACTGAACAAAAACACTTTTATATACTAAATTAATTGTTTTTTTTAAGCTCTTTACAAAGGTCTAAAGATAAATTGAAATATTTTGTGTTTTGAGGGTCAAAAGTGAGAAAAAACCATTTTTACCCCGCAAAACCCCCCGTAAAGCCTCGTTCCCATGGTCCGATTATGCTGGTTATGCTGGAACTCATTCAAGTTAAACCCGCTTTACACCTTTAAACCAAATTTCATCCAAATCGGACAAAAATTACTTAATTTGTTCCTAAAACCCCATCTATGGGTTAGATATATTTTATATATAACATAATTTATATTTATACAGATATTGATGTTTTATAATACTGTGCCCACAGATTTGGTCAATGGGCACTAAGGGTTAATCTGTTTGATTTAAGCCTGGATTATATTTTTGATGTATATGATATTTATGAATTTTGATATAAAATTTAAACAATATTGTATAGTGTACACTCTTTTGTTTTAGCGAATTTCCCTATAGGGAAGTAGCTATTACCGTAGGTGGCACGGTAAGACCTAGACCCGGGACCAATTTACTTTTTCATTTTGATTTTCCTAGAGGCCAAAAAACCCATTCGTTCAAATTATATATATACAGGGTGTCCCACGAAGAGGTTTAACCGTTTGATTTTATATTTCTTACCCATTCATGGACCGAACATTTTGAAACTTTACACAATTTATAAAGTACAGAAGGTGGTTTAAAAATGTCTGTGAAAGATCTATCTCCCTATCCCTTGTAGAAACAAAATTGTGGCGTATTGAATGTTTTTATTAACTAATTATATTATATAAATCAATTTATTATTAATTTTTAACTAGTGATGGATAACAGTTACAATAAATTTGGACTCTACTTTAGGGTTTTCACTAGGCTATGGTATAATTTCCTGATGAAAAAGCCTTATTTCCATAGAATGCGTTAATACAAATGTTCTACAAAACCAAAAACACTATTTTTAATGTGTTTAAAACATCATTTCTCAATATGCTCCGATTTTGTTTTTACAAGAGGTAGGGAACTGAAACTTTCCCACAATATTTTTAAAATGTACTTTATAGATTGTGTAAAGTTTCAAAATGTTCGGAGCATAAATGGGCAAGTAATCTAAAATCAAACGTTTAAACCCTTCGTGGGACACCCTGTATATATATACGTCCGTGAACGCGATAACTTGAGTAATTTTTGTCCGATTTTAATAGAAATTTGGTTTAAAGGTGTAAAGCGGGTTTAACTTGAGTTCCAGCATAACCAGCATAATAGGACCATGGGAACGAGGCTTTACGGGGGGTTTTGCGGGGTAAAAATGGTTTTTTCTCTCTTTTGACCCTCAAAACGCAAAATATCCCAATTTCTCTTTAGACCTATTAAAAGAGCTTAAAAAACAATTAATTTAGTATATGAAAGTGTTTTTGTTCGGTTATTGGTAATGGAGAAATTTAAAAAAATTGTAAATTTAAAATTCCTATGTTATTCTTATGGACAATATTGTAAAATGTTGTAGTTTGCTTGTTTATGGATATATTTCGATCAAACTTGGCAAATTTATTTATTTTATACTAAGCTATCAATATTTTACTAAAAAACACACTTAATTAGTTTCCTTGTAGCAGCAAACCTAGGTACTCGTTAAAGCTAATGTTATTAAAATATATTTAATTGAAAATGAATTCAGACAAATGGAAATTCGCTTAGTCGGTAGGTTTGCTGCAGCAGGGGGAATTTAATTCTTCTACTTAATTTTATTGTCTCTAATTTTAAAACGAAATTAAAAGTTTAATAGCCCTAAATAGCACTATTACTTTTCGGTACACATAGACATTGCATTGTTGTCATAACGACTCACTGTATACCACTACATTGTTGTGGCAAATTTCAAGCAGTGTTTTTGTATTAAAATATAAGTTATATATACCGTTAGAAAGGTAATATTCTGACAAACAAGTGTATGTAAGACGTTTTCAGCTACGTGTAACGGAATCCACGACACTTAGCAAAATGATTTAAAAAAATCTAAATAAAAAACAAAATATTTAATAAAACTTTAAATATTCGTAGTATTATGAATCTAAACAATGAAGTAAAGTACACCATCGGAAAGGTAATTTTTTTGTGATTAATAATCACTAAAAATGTAAGGCATTATTAGAAAATGAACCCGAGTTATATAGGGAAATGTAGAATCATGTCACACAACTTTGGCGGCCATTTTGATTACGTCATCAACACCCATAGAGTGCCCGAAAAATTTGTGTCCCGGACTTTTTGGACTCGTCTACGCATGTACTATCTGAATCCAAAGGGGCGCGTTGGTTGCCAGATGTGAAATATTTTTCAGCTAACCCACCCCACTAGTAGGTTTCAAACTGTAAGTATGGTTTATGAAGAGTTAAAGAATTTAGACACAAAGATATCTGACCATTTATTTCAATTTGAGGAAAGTGAAGCAATTCTTGAAGAAGAAGTGTCTAAAGCTTATAGTTATTTGGAAACCTACAATCAAGTAAATGTTTTGGTACAAAGTAAAATAAATGAGTCTAGAGATTATGATTTGGTCAGTAGTAATTCAGCTGTGATAGAAAATATTCCCAGCTGTTGTTTGACATTGTTATTTTATTTGTTTATGTTGAATGTTTGTAATCATTATTTCATTCTCTAGATTTAACTCTTACTTATGAATTCCATTACTTGAATTGTGTTAAATAAAGCCTACTCATTCAAGGCAAACAATCTTTATTCTTTAACAATTTATTTAACACAATATCTGCAATCATGGAAAAACATTTTGCTCCAGCAAAACTTTCAATAGATCCAAACTCTTCAACAGCAGCAATGGAATGGAATCACT